ACCTCATGGACCCACTGAAAGGGTCCCACGTGGAGAACAGCTCTAAGCTAAACAGTAGAATGGCTGGGGGCACATAAACATTCAACCCATAGCTGCTGACCAGAAGAACACATTTTAAGTCTCTTCCTCTCCTGCTCCTTGTGATTGCAGACAGACTCAGTCTGTAGGAGAGCTGTAGAGAGAACAAGCTCAAGTCCCTGATTTTACCTACAAAGAAAGCTGAGCCCAGAGACATTAAGGCACTTACCTAAGGTCACACAGTCACACAGCAGAGCTGGGGCTGAGCTCCAGGTGTCCTGCTACAGAGGCCACTTCTTTCTCCCACTAGGGACTGGCCTGTGATTACTTCAGAAAACAATGGTCAGCTAACTGATTCTGAATGCCCTTTACTGGTAAAAGCTAATCTCCTGAGGAAAAAACGTATGCATGGGCTGGGCACAGAGGCTCAAGCCTGTAATTCCAGCGCTTGGGGAGGCAGAGACAGGCAGATCACTTGAGGTCAGGAGTTTAAGACCAGCCTGGCCATCAAGGTGAAACCCCGTCTCTACTAAAATTAAGCTGGGCGTGGTGGCAGGCATCTGTAATCCCAGCTACTGGGGAGGCTGACGCAGGAGAATTGCTTGAACCCAGGAGGCAGAGGTTGCAGTGAGCCGAGATTGCACCACTGCACTGCAGCCTGGACGGTAGAGTGAGACTCTGTCTCAAAAACCAATAATCGTAAAATAAAAATAAATAACTAAATAAGTATGCGTCACCTCAGGTGGTCAGTCAGCTTTCCCAGGACCCAAGAGCACACAATGTTCTTTATGATGTGAGTGACGGGGTTCACAGCACCACAGAGTCCATGACTTTTCCCTCAGAAGTGAATGCATGGCTAATTATTTTGTATTTTTTGTAGACATGGAGTTTTGCCATGTTGCCCAGGCTGGTCTCAAACTCCTGGACTCAAGTAATCCACCTGCCTCAGCCTCCCAGGGTGCTGGGATTACAAGCATGAGCCGCTGCATGGCATGCACCTATAGTCCCAGCTACTCAGGAGGCTGAAGTGGAAGGATCACCTGAACTGGGGAAGTTGAGGCTGCAGTGAGCTGTGATTGCTCCGGCGCACTCCAGCCTAGGCAACAGAGTAAGATCCTGTCTCAAAAAAAAAAAAAAAAAAAAAAGTGAACACACATGCTGGAGAAGAGGCCTGCAGGCACCCCTGCCAGTTCTGCACCAGAGCACACTGTAGCAGCCCTGCTGTGACGCAGGAAGAAGTTCCAGGTCCTGCAGCCTGGAGCGTGGAGCCTGAAGCCTGGAGCCCCCCATCCAATGCTGCGCCATGCTCGCCAGTAGCCCCCAGCATCAGCACCAAGGCACCAGCTGTAGATAAATTTCTCACCTAAGATGTTGAGAGATGTTGCTAAACTGTCCTCCTAAGGCTGTGTATAATAATATGGTCCTGCCGATATTGCATAAGACTATCTGCTTCATTACATCCTCACAATACTGAATATCATTAGCAATTTGAATTTTAAATTGTGCTAATCAATGAAAAATGATTGCTAATTACTAGCGAGTTGAAGTTATTTAACATTAATACTCCTGATGGAATATTTTGCATTTATCACGTTTTATATAAATTATCTCTATATAATTAGCACTAGAATGTCCGACTTGGTTTTCATTGTTCCTCACCTGTTTGGAAACACATTAAGAATGAGGGAGAGAATGGATGGGGACTCACTAGGGATGCATGGATCTGGTCTGCAGCCACTCTGAGGCCCTCTTAACACTTCCCCACCTCACACTCAATTTCCCCTGGTTTGTCCATAGATACATCCAACAATTTTTATGTAAATAAGAAAGAAAGACTCAGCTTTCAATGGAAAACGGTAGGTTGGATTTTATAACTGAAGTGACAAAAAGAAATAAGGGATTTTATTATGGGGGAGGTCCAAACCCTGGTAAAAAACAAAATTCATTGAAATTGTTTGAAAATTCAAGGATTAAATCAGATTATTTTGGATTCAGTAGGCATTAGATTACTCTAAAGCCCAGGGATACTTTATTTTGTAGAATTCGAGGAAAGTATAGAAAAGAGAAACGAAGAGGTGAAGTCATGGCTAATAACCTGGAAGGGGTCTATAAGGAGCCAAAGGCCTATGGGACGTGACCAACTCAGCATTCCACTGGAGGCTATGTGATCAAACAGCAAACTGTTTATCATGAATGCAGGATGCGGGCAAACTCAACACTTCTCCCACTGCCAGAAGGTTTGCTGAGGGAAATCGCTTCCTGGCGTGGAGCTCCTTGAGGTTATCTACTGGGACATCTAGAGAATGCAGTCTTGCAAGCCTATTCTGGACCGAGCAGCTGACCCCTTCTTACACGTCCCCCTGCTCACTATCTCTTTTGCCTAATACATATGGAGAGTTGTGTAAAGCTCAGGGCCCTTGTCAACTAGAGGCAAAGTGCCCCCGACCCCTTCTTCCAAATATACTCTTTTGTCTCTTGTCTTTTATTCCCACGTTTGCCCCCTTTGTTCAGTTTCCCCAGGTTCGTGCGGGTTACATAGTGGTGCCCTGAACAGCGACAGAATCTGGTGCTCTACAGAAATAACATTTTAAAGAAAGATTTGGGACTTAGAGACCCCAGGAGACACACACAAAAATGATAAGAGGATGTGCCCAAACCAATCTTAAAGTTGTGGCACAGGGTGAGGCAGATGAAGCTGTTACTGAGCCTCGGAGAGTGACTGGTGTCACAGCAAATGTTAGCAATGGCCTGAAGGGAGGGTTTCTGAAACCAAACACGAATGATTCCCCCTCAGGAAACCCAACCTCGGGAGCTACTGCATGGTTCTCTGTATAGGGAAGTATCATCAATGCAGGACAAATTGTGAAATACCACAGGAAGCATCCTGCATCTAGTCAATCTTCTGTTTCCGGAGTGGCCTGTGCAGCTGTGCAGGCAGAGGCCCGACCAACCTGGTGAGTAGCACACAGGGACTGAGATCCAGCCACACACACCAGGCCATGCTCTGGGAAGGGGGCGGGACCCGGGCAAAGGACACCTCTCTAGGACTGCGCGGAAGCCTTTGTGGGCTGATGGGACATTCCTGTGATGGCTTTCTGGCTGGGCACTGTGAAATGCTCTGAAGATTTTTCTTTGCACTGTTGCACTAACCCCAGTCCCCCATCACTGCCTCTTCCTCCTGGGCGACCTCATTGATGTTGTGGCCACGTGAATTCTCTGGCCAATGAAATGATGAAGATGATATGGCCTCTGCCATGCAGACACTGTATTATTGTATGATGCTTTTGACTCTCTCTTTTCTTAAGTTAAAGCGGTTTATTAAGAAAATAAAGGAATGAAAGAATGGCACTCCATAGGCAGAGCAGTTGCCTCTGTCTCTTTTATTTTCCCCTCTCTCTCAAGCCCAACATGCCCAAAACTGGGGCTGCTGGTTCAGCCCGGGTCTGAGAATAAAGATGTGAGTCACAGAGCCATTGCTGACCCATGATGGAGATGGACACAAGAGAGAAACACATTTTTGTCATGTTAGCCACTAAGATTTTGACTTGGAGACCATTTCCTACAGCAATATAACTGAGCATGAACAGAGAGACACAATGGTGTTCCATTTCTTTTCAACCTGGAACAGGAGAATTTCACAGGTGGGCCTTACTTTCACTTTAGTATCTTATTTAGACAAGAAAGTTCATACTGTTCAAATGTCATGTTTTACAGTGCTGGCATTATCACTGCTGTGGCTACCCCATCAGATGTTGCTCACTGACTAATCTTCTCATATTAGTGAGGATGGACAACACATCTGGTCATAATTCGAAGTAGCAAATAGGAAAAGAGCTTCATCCTAGTATTATGGGACCTTAATTAATGTCCTTTCCTGACAGGTTTTAGAGGCTTTTGCAGACAGCAGTAGAGCTTTTCATCTCACTGACAGTGGGGAACATGGCCAAAAGGTTGCCCCCAGAATGGAGGCAGAGTTTCAGGACATTTGTCTGATCTCTGCTCTTGAAGGGACAGTCTCACCCTGATTGACACTTTTGCCTGTTATGTCCAAAGAACCAATGGAAAAGCAGGAAAATTATTCCTTCTTCATTTCTGTCTTCGTTATTTAAAGTTACTCTGTCTTCACTTGTCTCTCCTCCTTTTCTCTGCTTCCTACTTAGCCCTTTAGAAATGCAATTATAATCTTTTGTCTCCTCTTCACCAGACACTCCCAACAGGGCAAGTTCATCTAACTATGTGCTCTTAGTTAGAAGCTCCACAGCAGAACTCTCTCCCACCAAGAGACTACCTTGAGACATAACAGTCAATTTACAAGCCAAAATGTGCCCTCTATGAAATTCTTCCACCTGGAAATTTTTTGGCTGCTTTTACAACCTAGTTGTGCCCATACAGGCACCAGCAGTAACCAGCTCAACTGCCTGGTAGATAAGGCACCAAAGCTAGTACCCAGACCCCCCACCTGCTCACTTCCTGCCCTGCATGCCTCACCCCCCATTTAAAAGCCTCTGCTTTCTGCTGCAAAGGTGAAACAGGAGTGAAAGAATGGCACTCCGTTCTGTACTAGGGGAAGAAGCCTGTACTTCTTCCCCTAAGGTAGCTTTGGAATAAAAGTCACCTTCTTTATACCAAACCGAGCTCTTGTTAATTAGACTCTGCAAGTGATGAGCAACTGAACCTACATTTCAGTTGTAATTCCTATGCCTGCTCTTCCTGCCCTGCCTTGGGCACACACACACACACACTCCCAGGCACACACATGCACGTGCACTGAGACAGCTATGTGAATAACCAACCAGATCCCCTTGGGAAAACCAGTGCTTGGCTTGGCCTTAAATTCCAGACCCTTGGGCATCATACCCAAGACTGCAAGAAAGAGGAGGGGCTGGACCTGAAAAACTTGGAAGGGAAGGTCCAACTGTACAGGTATTTTGTCAGGCATGTGATTTCAGTGTAAAATTCTAGAAAAGATGAGTGACACTTTATAAGGAGAGAATATCAACAATATTTCTCATTTTATTTCTTGCTAAGACGACAGCAGGGAATTGTGAGCAGATGGATGGGCAATCCCCACCTTCAGCCAGGGAGGCCAAGGCCCCAGCACACCCGGGGAGAAGGGCTGGAGGCAGTGAATGGCTGAGGCTTCCTTGGGGAGGCTGGGCCATCTTCTTGGGTTTTACTTCTGGAGGAATGCACAGGCTTCCAGGAGGGCTGTGGGACACAATAGAGCAAGAGATTCAGAAACTGATTTCTTCTTTTTTTAAAATCAATAAACCAGTTATTTAAACCCATAAATCAAAGAGGATACTAAGAGTTTTCTCTGCCCTTCTTCCATCACTGTGAGTCAGTGCTTGCCACACTCATATTCCCGTTCCCCTACTCCTAGTGACTACGGTGTTCAAGGGAGCCAGAGTCTAGCCCTCACCAGCCACAGTGTTTCCCTGCTCTGGCCTGAGAGACACAACCGCCCTGCAATTGTCTCTAATTGAATTGACTGTCACATTCTCAAGTTCACAAGACATTGGTGGTCCTCTAGCTTCTCCTGGAATGTGAACCTGTTTGCAATCATGCAATCATGCTCATCTGCAGATTCACTCATTCATTCACAGATCCTTACTGAGCACCTACTCTGCTGTACTAAGTGCTGGGGACTCAGCATGAATAGACAGGCCTGCCCTCAAGAAGCACGTGGTCTATGCAGTCCTGAACTGGCTGCTCACAAGAAGCGCCCTGTAGCCATATTTCTCAGAGGGTGGTCATGACCTGCATCACAGTGACCTGAGTTGTTGGTCAATACAGAAAAGGGTTTCTCAACCTTGGCACTATTGACATTTGGGGCCTGATAATAACTCTTTGTTTCAGGGGGCTGGCTGTGCTTTGTTTAGTAGCATCCCTGGCCTCTATAATATATTTGGTACCAGCAGCACCCTCTACGTTGTAAGAATCAAAAGTGCTTCTCAGCATTGCCAAATGTTCCCTCAGGGGAAAAATTGTCTCTCATTGAAAACCACCAATAAAGACATTCCTGGCCCTGCTCCCATGCCTGGACCAACAGCATCCCCAATGCCTCTGACTCTGGGTGAGGGACCAGGAATAGGAATCTGGATGATTGCAGTGCACAGGCAGCTGTGCACACTGAAATCCCACAATTATAACCGGGAGCCTTACAATACTCCGCAATGTCTTCTAAATATTTTAAGGGATTAAATTAGTATCAATATATTTCCCTGGTTAAGATATGTTTTCCTACACTTGAATTTTTTTGAGATTTTGTTTTCTCAATAGTTGGCATCTGTGGTAACTGTCTAGATCAGGTTTTGTTTTTTTTTTTTTTGAGGCAGGGTCTCTCGGTGTCACCTAGGCTGTAGTGCAGTGGAACAATTATAGCTCATTGCAGCTTCAACCTTCTGGGCTCAAGCAATCCTCCTATTTCAGCCTCTCAAGTAGCTGGGACTACAGGTGCTTGACACCACACCAGGCTAATTTTTAAAATTATTTTTGTAGAGACAAAGTCTCCCTGTGTTGACCAGGCTGGTCTCAAACTCCTGGGCTCAAACCATCCTCCCACCTCTGTCCCACCTCTGCTTCCCAGGATGCTGGGATGACAGGTGTGAGCCATCACACCTGGTCAGTTTTGTCACTTCTCAATGCATATGTATACATACACTTTTCACTTTACTGAATAAAATGGATTATCATTTTCCAAAGACTTCATGACAGAGCAGTCACTATCAGTACTATAAACTTTATAAAAATATATTACATACTGCTCTATTTTATTTTCTAATTATTTTATCAATGAGATTAGAATGTCCTGAATTATAAAGAGATATTATCTTTCCTTAACATTTTTACACCTGTGTTAGTTCCTAGAATGCTGTTTGGCCCTCAGACCTTGACCTTCACCAGTGGTGGTTTCTCGGGGATGCTAACTAGGGTCTACTTACGGGAGCTTGAGCACTTTTTCAGATTAGTAATGGCTGTGACATACTGTGGTCCCAAATATTTTTCATATGTTGTTTTGCCATGGAGTCTGGCCAGACACTCAGTGTTGTCATTGAACAGAAGGTTTTTGGTTTTAGACTGGAATAAGCAAAATGTGCCCGGGCAGTCAGATCCATTTTTCCCAAATTTAGCCTGCAACAAAAGGGCAGACAGTGAGTAGCTAAGGAAAAGAGGAATTCATGGGTTAAAGGAGGCAAAGGGGTATTTCTCCTACCCAAGAACAGCCCTGAGAAAACCATGGGGCAGAAAGAGCTGAGTTCCGGAGTCATTCCACCTCCTTAATGGAGTCCCCCACCCCACACTCCTGCTGGCAGGCCCGCCCTGGGCAGCATCCAGGCCTCACACCACTTCTGGTCCTACCTCCTACTATCTGCCATCTTTCCTTCCTTCTTAACCTGCGACCTTTTCCCATACGACTTCTTATGGGTGACAAGGTGACAGCAGAGGGGTTTTGAGATCTGCCCTCACAAGTCAATTGCTTAGGACATTCTAATATGCAGCTCTTCTAGAGAGGCAGGCTGCTAGGAAAACTCAGGCTCGGCCACTAACCAGCTCAGTGTGCAGGCCGGTCACCCTGCCTCCCTCACACATTTCCTGCTCTGTCCCAGGCTCCCATGTGGGGAGACTGAGACCCAAACCCCTCAGTCATGGCAGCTCTCTCACCAGCACCAGTGTGTATGCACAGTAAGGGCTCCATAAAGGCCGGTTATGGTGGCCAGTCTTATTATTCCTGGGTTGTTTTCTTTAAAAGCACACATAGAGACATGATGTTATATGATACAAATAGAAGTTCTAATAAAATCCCAGATTTTAAGAAAATTTGGGGATTTTCTTCAAATCACTTTTAGGTAGCCCTGAATCTATAGGGCACATTTTGGGTTTGCTGTTTTAGGGGCCTGGCCTAGAGCATTGTTCAGACGGCCCAGGTTCAGGAAACACCACCTGAGTAAAGCACTATACCAAGGAGTGTGGGAGGAAGGCTCAGCAGTTCCCTCATTTGCCAGAAGAACAACAGGAGGGCAAAAGACAGTCTCTGAGCCAGGCAGTGAGGGCAACAAGGCCAGGGCACAGAGACTTAGCCGAAATCGAGCGAGTCCCAGAAAGCCCAGTCAAAAGCCTCTGTTGTTCTTGTTGACACTCCGGGCAACCCCACGGCATGAAGCCAATACTGTCACCATGAGCTTCAAGCAGAGGGACTAGAGAGGCTCGAGTGGGCTGGTGCACCTAGCTCTGTGATCTCCCCACCTAACAAGAGCCCACACAGCTAAGAAAGCACTAGAAGCCCTGTGGTCCATACCTGTTGGTCGAACAGCACCTGTTTCAGGCGTTCCACCTTTTCTGTCCGAGACACCACGGCATGATTCGGGGCCATGGCGAGATGGCAGCTCCTAGCCTCAGTCACAGGCTTCCGCGTGCCATCGAGGCACAGCAGCTCAAAGTCGTTCAGCTTCAAATCCTTAGCCCATGCGTCAGTGTTCTTTCCTGGGGAGAAAAAGAAGGTGGCATCATCCACGGCTCCCCTGCTCAGCCACCAAGTCTCTTCTGGATGGGTGTGGCCACCCCACTGACCTCTCAAATGCACACACTGGGGTTGTGGTGATGTGAGGAAGAGAAAATGAGCTTTGTCCTACACAAGCTGTACAAACTTCAAATATACCAAATATGAGTGCTGTGTCCATGCAATGGAATGTTATTCAGCAATAAAAGGGAGTGAAGTTCTGGTACATGCTGCAACATGCATGAACCTTGAAGACGATGCTAAGTGAAAGAAGCCAGTCACAAAAGACCACGTAACAGGCTGGGCACAGTGGCTCATGCCTGTAATCCCAGCCCTTTGGAGGCCAAGCTGGGAGAATCACTTGAAGCTAGCAGTTCATGACCAGCCTGGGCAACACAGCAAGACCTCATCTCAAAAAAACCCCACCATATATTATATTACTCCATGTATATGAAATGTCCAGAATAGGCCAACCTATGGAGACAGAAAGTGGATTGATGGTCCGCAGTGCTGAAGAAGGATGGGGCAATGACTGATAATATGCGCAGGGGTTTCTTTATGGGATGATGCAAGCGTTCTAGAGTTGGACTGTGTTGATGGCTGCACAACTCTGTGAATGTGCCGGAGATCACTGTATTGTACACTTCGCATGGGTGGATACTTTTAGTATATGAATTCTACCTCAATAAAGCTGTTACGAGTTCTTATTTTTTTAAAGAAGAAAACCCTCCACCTATGCCATATTTTTCAGTGAGTTCCAGAAAAAGAATAGATGGTTTTACATTCAAGGAGAAATTGGTTTCTCTTCCCTTTCATATTCAAATGCTATTAGTGTAACCACAGAAAGGAAAGGAACTTTTGTAGGTTTATCAAATATATATAGTCAATTCTAACAAAATACAGTTGTAAAGTACCAGAGAAAGTTAAAATTAAATTTGACCTCAATCTGATCCCTGGAGATTACTTTAGTGAATGGCTTGTAAATTCTAAATGTAATTGTATGCATGTCTATTTTGTGCAGATACAGGCTCATTGTTCAGGCTCCTGCTTGTCTCTCTGCCCTCTCCCTTTAAGAAAGCACTTTATTCATTCTCTTGAATTCCTCTATTTGATACTGAAATACTTTCAAATTTACATGCCTGGTTTTAATCTTCATCCCAAGAGACACTAGAAGGGGCAAAAGCAGAAGGGAGAAGTGACTGTGACTGCAGTGATTGCTGAAGGAGGGAGGCCGAAAGTGGAGGCAGTTCTTTCTCAGGGAACAAAATAGCAAGTCACCTGCTGAGACTAGGGGGTGGGAATGCTGAAGTGGGGCTAAGGAGACAGATATAGATTGGAAGGTAGCAAATGGCTGAGGACCAGAACAGTGATTGTTCAAACATTGACTGGAAGATTATCTTCCGTCATCTGCGACCACCTGTAATTTTGTTCCCACTAACTCCCAAGGAGTCTCCAGACCAAGGCTCACATGGGGATGAATGAAGGCCTCTACTTCCTTTTTCATAAAGGGAGGCTTCATTTGCATGTGTTCACCCAGTTTTGCAGCATCATCCACAGTTTCCAACAGGCATGCATGATCTCATGCATGAGGGCAGACGGTGTGTTTCTGTGGTTGACTAGACGAAGCTAGGGAGACATTTGCTACTGAGCATGGCTAGTATCTGTGTGTGTGTGAGTGTATGTGCGTGTGTGTGTGTGTGAGAGAGTGTGTGTATGAATTTGGTTTCAAAATCCATATGACACCTACAGATGTTATCATGTTGTCTATTGAGATAAAGAATTTTGGAGTTCTTTTAATCAAAAATCTGGAAAATGTTATAAAACCTTCCCAAAGGCAAACCTGAACGCTAAGATGTGTTGTGATGCCAAAGACTCTGCTCTGAAGGAGAAAAGGAAACACCTTCACCTACCATCAGTGTTCTGCAAGACAGTGACATCTTTCACAAACGCAACGTCTCCAGCATTCTCAGCCAGGCACCTAAAATGTTCCAGAAAATATGCACATAATTACAGAAGAGAAACTAGTAGGGCTTTCATAAATATTTGTAATATGCATTCCAAAAACTGAAATACAGAAGTACACATCTAAAAGACAACTATTTCTAGGAATTTACTGTTTACAATGGCAGATTGAACACAGGTGTACCTGTCCTCCTTTTAAAACCCTACATAAAAGACATTACAAAACCAAGAAAGCTAAAGATATACAATCCAGGAAACAGGCAATCTAACATGAAGACAAAGTGAAGCACCAGAATAATGGTCAACAGGACCCCCAGGACCACAGAAGTGCAGGTGGCCTGAAGAGCAACCAATCCAAACTGCAGCAGGAAGATGGACACATTCCGGAGCAGCAGTTCCAAGTAAATGATGAAACTGCGATAGCACCCACTGTGTGTGTGTGTATGTGTGTGTGTGTGTGTGCGCGCGCATGTGCATGTGTGTGTGTATGTGCATATTGTTAGAAGATTTACATTACTGGCAGAGAGTTTTGGGATGAAGTAGTGTTGTTGTTTTTTTCAAGTGCAGAAAATTAAGCAGATGAGAAAAGACACCTATGAACTCCAGAGTAAACAAAAGTTTGTACAATAAGGGAAATATAACATGAGAATAACGCTTACACAGTCATAAGTACTGAATATGACATTAGCATGTTGGGTGCTGAAGAGCTGAAGTTTGTGGTTGTGGGGTGGAAGAGGTGCCGGGGGCAGTGTGAGAGGCTGGATCTTCTTCTATAGTACAGAGTCAGCAGAAAGTTAAAAATTAAGAACCAGCATTATAAGGATCATAGAAATAAAGGGGTAAGACACTGGTTTCAGCGTTTAATTATTTTGCTATAAATTTCCCCAATCTAGATTCTAGATAGAATTTAAACAGAAGACAAGGAATTTTCTTCCAGTATAAACAGGAATATTAAAATGTGGGTGTTTCCAGTGAACTAATACCTTGCTGCAGGTCTGAAAAAAAAAAGAGGAGCACAGGATTCTTTTGGGCTCTTATGAGACGTGTGTTCAGCATTTCTGAGTAGAATCACATTTCCATTTGCAAATCCTTAGTCCCTTAAAGATATTTTTTGCTTTGGGTTTTTTATGAGCCACTCAGAGTACAGCAAAAGCCACTTTTATGTCATTTCATCACTGGAACAAGGCAGTTGAATTTATATTAAAAAGTTCAGAGACACCCTCAGACACGTGACGCCATCTGGTGGTGAAATGTACTCTCGGCAAGTGGAGGAAAAGCAACCCGGGAAGATCCTCTCTGCGTCCTTCACACCGGTAAATTGTGCCACTGAGAAGCAACACCCGGATGAATGGCGCTGTGAAACGTGGGGTGTGGTTACAAATCACAAAGTGGTTATAATTTGTGAATTCTGAAAACTTGTTTTTTGGCTTATTTTTCACTTCGTTACTGGAGAATAACACTGCAATTCTGCTATCTCTTTGCCATTTCCAAGGCCAAAGTCAGAGAAAAGGGGAAACCTACGACATAATGGTGACCTAGGTGAGAAGAGAGGGGGTGGCGATAAGAAAGAGAATTCTCCCCCACAAATGGAACTGTAGAAAGCACTTAGGACACCACACTCTACCCATTGGATTTTCAGGACGAGGCTATTGAGGCTACTGCTGTTGATCTTGGCTCAAAGCCACAGGGAGAAGCACTGTGGAGCTGAGGTGAGAAAGCCCTGGTGCCAGCCTCCACTCTCCGGGGCGGTGGGTGTGGTGGGGACAGCTCTCACTGGGGCCACCCATGAGCCCCCACTCAGCTGTGACAGGTCACATCTGGCCCCTTAGAACTGCAATGCCGACATGCTGAGGGATGAGATGAGGCCCCATCCTGATGGAGCTCAGTCACAGACTCACCGGAAAGCCCCAGTGTAGCCGTAGTATCTCTCATTGTTGTTGGGCACGCACTTATCCTCACCCTGCTCATTGCCAATACACAGAGCACAGAGATTAGATCTCGGGTCAGCCCCAGGGGCACAGCTTTGACTGAAGTATTCATCTGGAGAGAAGGAACGCAGGGAGTCAGCTCTTCCAACCTGAGTCCACACAAGCAGCCTTTACCTAACAGCTGATGCAGGTTGGTTTCCATCCATTAGACTCCCCAAGACAGCAGTCTGGATAGAACACACTCACCATCACAAAGCGACATGTTGTCACCAACATAGGACCCAGCAGAAAAGCTTCATTCAGACTGTAGGCACTGATGGACTCCCAACTAAGTCTGGGGATGACAGCTGTGGCTGCCTGGAGGGTCCCATCATCACAGCCTCTTGCTGGGGACTCAGCTCATGACCATGGTGGCCGTGTGCATCAGAGCCTGTGAGTTGCCTAGTCCAGGACCTGATTTTGTTTTCATCAGTAATGGAAACCCTGCTTTGTATCTGGGTGCCTGGCCCTTTGGTATAAAGACTAGACTTATCAGACTCCCTGGGGCTCTTATGGGTATATGGGTAGCTACTGGCCAGTGAAATGTCAGCAGGAGAGTTGGGTGCCAGCTTCTTAGAAACATCCTTGAAAGACAATTGGTACATGCCTTTTGCCCTCTCTTCTCTTTTTTCATCCTGCACATGGAATGCAGAAGCAGGGACTGGATTTACAGATGCAATGTAGGCCATGAGGTAACCTTGAGCACAGAAGCCATACAAATGGCAGAGTAGCCCGATGATGAAAGCCCAGGTTCCAGACACCACATTGTCTTAATACCGGCCCTAGGCAAACCACCTCTGGACTACATGACACAGAAATTAACTTCTGTCTTGTTTAAGCCTCTCCTATTTCGGGAGTTTTCTGTTCCTTGCAGCTGAACCTGATCTGAATTCACTCATTGTATGATTTAACCCAAGAAAGAATAAACAAAGGTGACAAGAAAGCTCTGCCCCACTGAGCAAATGTCACCCATTATCAGACTCCCACAACCCGTGCTGCTGGAAGAACCACACTATGTGTCAACCTCGGGAAAAGTTGGGGGTTCCCACCCCATCCTGGCAGTTTCCCTACAGCTCAGAGGCTACCGTGGAGCTGGTGAGGAGCAGAGCCATGTGAAAGCCTGCCCCAGCCAGGATCAAAGCCCATGCAGTGGAGCCCCTGCTCTAGGAGACGCCCATACAAGAGGGGAGTCTCATTGAGGATGTGCTACACACCATGCCACAGGGCCTGCAGCAGGCAAGGCATGGCTTATGCTGACTAAGATGAGTGCGGGGTGTGGTGGGGAGAGAAAACTCCAGAAGCAGGTGGAGCCGGACTCTTGAGGTCTTATTCAGGCTCCTTTGCTGTGTAGAGTAAGCAGTCAGTTTTGCTTAGTAACAGGAGTCACCTTTCATGAGGCAGGCAGACACCCTTCCCCAAGCTAAGAAGCCAGAGTTTAAGAGGAATTTAGGTCTGGAGCTCCAAGAGCTAAAAAGCATTTGTACATCTTGGAACTTGCATTTATATTCTTAGGGTGCAGCGAAATAGGCAGATATTCCGATCTTTAATCTTGGGGTAGGGTGAGTGGGGCATGGGAAGTGCTGTGCAGGGAAACCCCGAGTGCACCCACACCTCCAGGGGGCAGCCACAGGGGGAATTTCCTTATGTCAGAAGAGGCCTGCAGGCCACTATCAGCCTGCAAATCCCTCCCCTCCCTTTGCTAAGGTTCCACAGCACAATGTGCCTACCCCCCAGGGTGGCCCACCCACCGCGTCTCTGGGACTCCTTACCAAATTTGCAGGAGCCCGTCTGGTTGAAGAGCAGGCCTATGGGGATGTTCCAGCCTGCAGTCCTGTCCACAGCGGTGTGGCAGGACTTCTTGCCTTTCAGAGAGTTCCACGTAAGGCCAGCGTCTGAATTCCTAACCACCGCCACAGCAAGATATCCTGGCATAACAGATGACAGAAAAACAAGCCTTAACCTCCAGGAGGCCCGGCATATGGATTCCAGCGGAGCTGTCTGCAGCCCAGGCCAAAACAGGCCACGAAGCATCACCAGGCAATGATTCCCACAAAGAACTGGACTTTTCAGGTAGACCGAGAAAGCATAAGCTGCTGCCTTACGTTAAGGCGAGATTGATTTGAGCTATGAAATAAAACAGTAAGAAAAGCTGATTCTTTTAGTGATTACAGGGGACTGTCTTCAACCAGCCACACAATGTCCCTGAGTTACAAACCAGCAACGCGTCTCTCGGTGGTAGCTTCTAAAGCAACAAACACTATAAACAACAAGAGTGACCCCAACAGTACATAAATCACCAACCACAGTGTGCATCAGGCAAGAGCACCCACATCCAGCCGAGCAACTGCTGTGTGGGTGCAGGGGCGCATTTCTCCAGGGACCGGCCTGAGGTGAGTCTGAACCAGTCCTGTACCGGTTGAACTCAACATGGTTGCCATTGTCCTCCTGAGAGAATGCATCTGACAGACACCCACCAAGGGCAAGTCTCTTCTGAAACTGAGCAAGCACCAGCTCTAGTGGGCAGGGGGAGTAGTGCAGAGAGCACTGGATCTGACACGAGGGACCCTGGGTCAAGACGAGGATCTACCACAGTATTACCTGTGGCTGTGAGTGAGATCCTGGGCACTTGGGGTCTGTCGGTGCCACTGTTTCCTCATCCCCATGAGGGGGGAGGTAGCACTCCCTAGTCCATGACCAGGACACAATGAGGGACTATATGGATGTTCTTTGCCAAGTGTGAAGGTCAATATAAACATTCATTGAAACTACTCCTCTGTGAATTATTTGCACCCTTAAAATTATGGCTCCTAGAAGCCCTACAGCTTCTAGGGCTGCAATTCTTTCTATTTTTTACAGTTCCCACCACTTCCTCTTCCAGCAACAAAACTTATCCTTGACCCTGAAAGTGGCTAATGCCAACTCACCTTCCACAGGCCTATCCACACAGTTAGGATCAGGGCCACTGCTTTGTTGGGGTTCTGAAAGAATAAAGACAAGCAAGACATCATTATCCATTCAGATGTAGTGAGAAGCCACAAACTTTTAAATCTCAATGATGCAGAATCAAGTCCAAAGAGACCGTCCCAGCAGTTCCATGCAGGAGAAATGCGTCTATATATTCACCAAAAGACATGGCACAGAGATGCACAGTAGCACTATTCACAACAGCCACCAACTGGAAACTACTCAAATGCCCGTTCACACTCAAATGACTGAATAATCACAGTAGACTCACACAGTGACGAGACTGAACAGTCTGCAACTACACGCTTAGGTGGATGAAATGCATAAAGATGAGCAAGAGAAACCAGACAAAAAAAAACACACACACACATGCTGTGCAACTCCTTTAACGTGAAGTTTAAAACATAGACCAACTTAGACCTGCACCCTCAGAAGTCAGGAGAGAGGCTTCCCTTGTAGGAGTAAGGGGGCGGGGGACAGGAGGACACAGGGGGCTTCTGAAACTTGCGCATGTTTGATCTGGGCCCGAGTGCACGGACTGTATAGTGTGTGAAGTGTAATGAGTTGTACATTTATGTGCACTTCTCTGTTTGTATGTTATCATTCACTAAGATCTTCTGAAAATTAAGAAGATAAAACCAATCTGTCCCTTGTTAGTTCTGAACACAATAGGCCTTTGTGGATGACACGGCCCCTTTCCCTTCTTCTTTCCCGGATTCTCCCTTTTGAATGTATCTGTCCATGATAACGTTTCACCTGCATTCATCGAATGGGATTACTCATTGCCCCACTCCCATGACCCAGAGGGAATACACCAGAGAATGCTAACTCCACTTACTGTAGTTCTCTGCCAGGACAGGCACCAAACCACATTTGCCTGCAGTGTACACATATCCTCCATCCAAACTCATGGCATCAGCTTCTCCTTTCTGCAAAGACAGAGCAGATCTCCAGCACCACAGGGAGGCTGCATCTCATCCTGCCTGTCTGTACAGCTCTCTGAGAGAATGGTTTTCTGTCAGGTGACCAGTGAAACAGCAGAAAGAGATGGATTGTTCGAACTGAGCACCCAGAGGGAACACCATGTGCACCTCTAATTCTCTCGCAGCCCTGCCTGCTTTCTGGGCTATCAATTCAACTGGAAAGACCAGGCACAGCTTGCACTAATCCTCTGTCCTCTGAGCAAAACCTTTTCTGTGCCCCCTGGCACTTTGGGGACACCCTCCTGGAGCAGTCTCACTCACTGAGGACACTGATGGGAACAGCTGGCTTCATCTAATCTGAACTCATTGCACTCCAAGCGCTACACAGAAGTTGTCCAACACATAAGCTGAAGCCATCATATTGGCCCACCACCAGAATGAACAAGTCCAGACTGCAACACAGGGTCATGGACTCATTAGGAGTATGAAATGACCTCTTTGGCCCAGTAATATTTTTTACAACTATATTAAAAATAAAGATGTGGACAAAGATCTCTACTCAAGAATGCTCACCACAGGGTTATTGATAATAGCAAAGTAAGGGACAAAGAGGAATGGGAGCATGACTAAACTGAGCCGTATTCACATAAAAGATACCCTGGAAGCATGTTTAAAAAATGTTTTCGTCTGAGTGCTATGACTCACACCTGTAATCCCAGCACGTTGAGGGGCCGAAGCAGGAAGATTGCTTGAGCCCAGGAGTTCAAGACAACACAAGCCTGGGCAACAAAGCGAGACTCTGTTGCTGCAAAAATAATGATAATAATAATAATAATGCAGGCATGGTGGCGTATGCCTGTAGCTCCAGCTACTTGGGAGGCTGAGATGGGAGGATCACTTGAGCCCAAGAGTTCCAGGCTGCAGTGAACTGTGGTAGTACCACTGCCCTCCAGCCTGGGTGACAGATCAAGAATCTTTCTCTTTAAAAAAAAGAAAAATTAATGTTTTCTAAGAGTAAACATTCATGTGGAAGAATGTCCATTATATGCTGTTTAGTGAAAAGGGCTTAAAAACGACATCACTGAAACACTTCATTATTGTTGCTATTGTTGCATGCATATCTGTAGACACACAGAGAAATACTGGAATGGAGAATTAGCCAGACTTTAACCATGTCTGTCCCTCTGTGTGAGATCACAGGTGGTTTGGGGGGTTTGTTGTTGTTTTTACATCATACCTTTCCATATTTTCCAAATTCCTTACAATAATCCTGAGTTGTTCTTGTAATCAGAGGAGTGGGAAACCCACAGTAAACTGCTTTTTGAACCTAAAACGGTGCATGTCCCTGAGCACACCCTCCAGGTGTCCCTGCCTCATTCGGGCCCATGTGACCTCTTTGACTGCTGACTTCACTTTAAGCAGATGCTCAGGCCCTGGGTCTTCCACAGGGCCAGCCGCCCACCCCTGGGACGGAGACCCCTACCAGCACCAGGGCGATGCAGTCGTCCGCAGTGGAGGCCAAGGAGCAGTTCACATTGCCTTCGCTCAGGGCACTCCACTGGTCACACTTTTCCAGCTCCTGCTGGCCCACTGCACACCACACGACTCGCGCACGCCGGGCAGCCACCTCCTCCTCACCTGCCAGAGGGAAGACCGCAGGTTGGCCGGGCAACCTGAACCTTGCCAGGTTGTCCAACCTCCCCAGAGCCAGGGTCCTGCCCAGACCCTCCCTGGGACAGGAGCTACAGTAGATGTGGGGACGTGTGGACCCATGCCCTCTCCTCCTCCACTTCTCAGTTCCAAGCGCCTTCTTCAGGCCCACAGAGCTCCCTGTGTTTCCTGTTTCTGTTCCTTTGGAGAAGTTCCCTGGATTCTAATCTATCCATTAATCTTTAGTGTCAGGAGGTGCCTATTGTGTCTGTCTCTAAGGATAAAAGCTCCATGACCCAGAGACCAGTGAAAGCGCCAAGAGATGGCCTAGGGGACCTTGAGCCCAGCCCTGACTTCCCCTAATACCTGCAATCACCACCAATAACTACAGTGCAGCCTCTGGGTTCCCCCAGACTCCCACTCCCAGCCCCCTATCAGAGGAGGAGCCATAGCTGAGTTCCCCCACCATGGTGTCCCCAACTAAGTTCAAGGCCTGGGCCTGGGAAGTGGGGGTGTTCCACCAGGCCTCCGGATTCATCCAGAAGGGGTCCTGGCTCTCTTGGTTCATGTTCATGTTTCTCACTTAATAGGAGGCAAATTGATTTTTCTGCCAAGCCTGGGGAGCCTGGTGTGCACTGATCGGGTGGCCAGACTATTCTCTTAGAGACACCTGACCTCATTCACAGAAGACACCCACACCTGCATCAAACCTCCACGATGACCCCACAGTGGCTGGGAAAAGCAGTGACCAGCACGAAGTAGGGCCACCTGCTGGGAAGTAGAAGACCGCGCCAGGCGGCCCTCAGGACCCTCCTGGGCTCACGCACTTTTCCTCAAGTTCTGGATGGCAGTCAAGTAGCCAGAGCCAAGGTACAGCCCAGAATCGATCCTCAGGGGGACCCTCGAAAACCCGATGGCGGAGTCCTTGAACAGCAGATCCTTCTGCCCTCTCGGGGAGCCAAAGAGCTGGAACTCTGGTGACTTGTCCTTTCCAAACTTCTCCTAATTAAGAAAAAATAGAATTATGGTGTCAATGGTAAATATGGAGGAAACAAAAAAGATGTTAAAAAAGAGTATCTGGAGCTTTGGGATCATTCTAACTGAGAGCAGGAGCCTCAGTTGCGACCCTCCTGCAGAGGGACTCGTGCCGTCCCGGAGACCCAGCACCTATGGCTCATTCTTTGAAGAGTTGCTGAGGTTCAAGCACCTTAGGGCTCTGAGAAGATTGCATCGACCACCCCCTGCTTCTGCTCCCATCATAAGACACTGTCAGTCGGTGTGGCAGGAGTTTCATTGCTTCTGCTGTCCAGAGTACAGCCTGGGCAAGCAGCCCATTGCATTAGTGTGCTATCCTGCAGCAAGGCTACAGGACTTCTAGAGTGGCAGAAGTCAGGGAAGTAAGGAACCTTGCCCCCTGCCCCCCAAATCCAAGCAAGTGGGGAGGACTGTGGGTGAAGATACCTGTGCCTGGCGGAGAAGCTCCCAGATGGCGTCCTCCTTGCCGTTCACACTTCGTGCCACAACGGCATGAGAAGGGACCCGCGCCAGGTGGCACTCCTTGAACTTGTCCACTGGCTTCCGAGTATTGTCTGGGCAGAGCAGCTCATAATTGTCCCTTTCAGCCGGGTCTGACAGGTCCTCTGCAGGGAAGGGGAGGTGGGAGGGAGCCTAGATGAGCCAACTCCAGCAGTACCCACGAACTGTAGTTCTCCTTCTCCCCATGGAATTTTGAGTTTGGGGAGACGTCTTGCACAACTCACAAAACTGAGGGTCAGAAAGGCAGGGATTTGCTCCAGAACACTCAGAAAGGTAAAGGTAGTGCCCCAAAAGCCTCAGGGGGCAGCCGAAGTGTGATCCTCTTCCTAAATCACTCAGGGCGCCCTGCGGTTCCCCTGCAGGTCAGAAAGGCCAAACCAGACCCGTCTGTTTCTGCAGCATCTCTGCCTGGAAAAGTCACTTTGTAGAGACAAGCCCAGGGGGCCACCAAGGGTTACTCCCTTACCCACATCTCTGGGAAGAATAAAAATGACAAAAATGTTGATAAGGCAGGAAATAAGGCAGGAAGGTGAGTCACTTCCCAACACTGAGTATATCAAAAGAAGGGAAAGAATGGTTTCATGAGTGAGTTCAGGCAAATGTGGAAGATCATATATAAATTGCTTCAGAATGTGTAAAGTGATTAAAAAAAAACTTGTCCGAGTCATTTTGTGAGATTAGTACAACCTTGATGTCAAAATTAGAGAAAGTACAGGAGGGAAGAATTAAAGGTTTATTTTACTTACGAACATAAATGCAAAACTTATAAATAACGTAGTAGCTAACTCAGTCTCACAGAGTACTTAAAAAACTAACAGATTGGGATGAAGGCTTATCAGTTTATTCTATTAACAAAAGAATGGCTGAACATCAAAAAAAAAAAAAAACTAAAGTAATCTGCATTTAATGGAAGAAAACCATGAGATCATCTTCATCTCAATAGACGCAGAAGGACATTTATGTGTTCAACATCTATTTGTGTGTGTGTGTGTATGCTTTTCTTCAGTCTCAGAAAAATAGTGATAGATAGAACCGGTAACCTTTTTGTTAGTTTGTTTATTTGTTTGTTTGAAGACTGAGTATCACTCTGTTGCCCAGCCTGGAATGCAGTGGTACAATCTCAGCTCACTGCAGCCTCCATCTCCTGGAGTCAAGAGATTCTCCTGCCTCAGCCTCCCGAGTAGCTGGGATTACAAGCCCACGCCCTCATGCCTAGTTAATTTTTGTATTTTTAGTAAAGATGAAGTTTCACCATGTTGGCCAGGCTGGTCTCGAACTCCTGACCCCATGTGATCCACCCACCTCAGTCTCCCAAAGTGCTGGGATTACGGGGTGAGACACCACGCCGGGCCATAAGTTATTGACTTGATAAATGCCATTAATCAAAATATCTACAGCAAAAATCTTACTAAAAGAAGAAAATTTAGACATTCACCGCAAAATCAGGAACAAGGCAAGGATGCCCACTAGTACAATGCCAACACAATTCTAGACAACTGGATCACACAATTTACAAAAGAAATGGGAGATATAAACACTGGAAGGAAAAAGACAAACTCTTATTTAAAAAGATGCTATAATTATCTACAAAAAAAACAACAAAACCAACAGAAACTAATACAACTAACAAGGGAGTTCAGAGGAGTAACAAGTTATAAGAGCAACCTACAAAAATCTGATGTTATCCTCATTAACAATAACCAAATAGAAACCAATATGAACTGTAAGATGTTACAATAGCAACTAAAACCATTAAGTAGCTTATAATTAGCCTCCCACAAAGACACATCAGACTCATAAAGGAAAAATTTAGTTCTATCAAAGAAGCTAAAAAGAAGTGTGATCAAATGGGGGAAATTTAGCATCACCATGGACTGGACAACTTAATGTTATAAATATGCTGATTTTTCATGGAACAATTCAAATTCAATACAATTCCAATCAAAATTTCCAGAAATTCAACAAAATAATTCTGAAGTTTTAGCTCAGTATATTTGAAAAGGAATAATAAAGTGAGAGGGGAGAAGGAGGTCTCTCATTCTCTCTCTCTTCCTCTCACTGGCTTTCTCTCTCTCTCTCTCTCTCTCTCTCTGTTCTCTCCACCAGATAGTAAGACCCATGTAAGTCACAATATCAAAAGCAGAAAAAATGCAAATACACCAATGAAACAAAATAGCTCAGAAACTGGTCCACTCAGATATATACAAACTTGGTGTAGAATTGGCCTCACATATCAGTAGGAAAAAGATAATTTTGTATAGTTTTTATTGTAAGGAAAATCGCCTCACTGTAAAGGGGATAAAATGCAAAAGCCAAATCCGTATCTGATTTTCTAGGTAGAGCACATATACATAGATGAGGAAGGGGATCTTCAAATCTTATTGTAGGAAATAATTATGATTTGGGTGTGAAGAAGGGCATCTTTGAAAGACCTCAAAACTACAAACCAACAGGGCGAGGCTTGTGGATTTGACCTTATCAATATCAAGGATTTTTGATCAACAAAGACTACCGTTGTCAGATTTTTGACTGATAAAAGATTTTACTGAAGTTTAAAATCAGCAATGGTTTGATACCTAGATAGAAGGAACTTCTGTCCTTGAATCAAAATCATGCAGAAACAAGATGTGAAACTCAATTTAAAAAGTAGTCAAATGTCACAAAATAAGAAAGGGAAGCCCAAACTGCTAGCAAATAGGTTGAGATGATCAAACTCACCAGATGTTAGAGAAAAGAAAATTAAAATCAACAACGAACTATCTATTGCATTACAACCATCATTCGGACAAAACTATGAAAGTCAAAAAATACTTCTAAGTGAAGTTGTGGGAAAATTAGAACACTTGCAGACTGTCCTTCTAGACAGCAGCCTAACAATACTGGGTGCATGTGGGGTCTGTCTCTGGTGGCCCTGGGTGCATGTGGAGGCCTGGTTCTGGTGGCCTCTGATGAATGCAGGGTCTGTCTCTGACGGTCCTGGGTGAATGTGGGTGTTGTCTCTTTCTCTGGTGGTCCTGGGTGGATGTGGGGTGTGTCTCTGATGGTCCTGAGTGAACGTGGGTATCTGTTGCTTTCTCTGGTGGTCCTTGTTGGAATATGGTAGCTCTGTCTCTGTCTCTATTGGTCTTGCATGGAATGTAGTGGGCTTATGTCCACTGGTCCTGGGTGCAGTGTGTTCACCCTCTACATCAGTTGTGCTTTAGTATAGGTCCAGGAGGGACACTGTCCAGCAGGACAGTAAGGAACACATGTGAAGGTATCAGTCATGTGGCTACATGTGGTAGAGGAAAAGAGAGCACAACCTCTGTCCATCACTATGGTGACAGAGAAGTAAAATGTGGACTTATTCCACGGACTATTCCTCAACTATTAGGACCCTTGAGCTAGACGCTTATACAACAATACTGATAAACCTCTAAAACAAAATGCTGAGCAGAAAACCCAAGCAGCAGGGTTTCTAATGCTCGCTAAAACCTCTATGAACTCAGAAACCAGAAACACAAACCAGCACGATCTATTCTGCACAAGCACATACGTCTTGGAGGATGCATTGCCAAGCACCTTGGCGTGGGTGTCTATGAGGGGAAGAGAAAGGCAGTGGGTACAGGAGGTTTAAAGAAACCTGATCATTTAAAATATGACAGCTCATAAAATCAGAACTGTGCCCTGTAGAAATCTTGAAAATGGTCTGCCATGAACTTCGGAATCTAATTAGCTCAAAGGTCAGAGTCATGATCAGGTAAGATAAAAGGGGGCAGTACCCACAGCTCATCACCCTGCTCTTACCAAACACTGTGCTCTCTCTGATAAAAGCCACGTCTCCAGCGCCGTCTCTCAGACACCTGTGAAAAGAGAAAGCATCAGGGGTAAGCACGGGCAGCCCCTTCCCGGCCCCTGCCTGTGGAACAGCAACCCTGGCACTCAGCACCTGTGGGTTTCCACTCCCTGTGGGGCAGGGCTCTGAGGCTTTGGGGCATCCCAGCTGGGAAGGTAGGGGCTCCCTCCAGGTGGATTCTGAAGAAGGGCTCAGGTGCTGTCCAGAGGCCCCCATCTTCTGCTTTGAGGGCTAAGAGGACAAAACTTTTTTTCTATATACAAGAGAGTTTTGAAGCCTCTACCCAAGAGGGTAAAGGCTTAGCATCCCTGTTCATCTGACTCTTTCCCTCAGGACTGAGCGTGCAGGTGTGCCCTGGCCAGTGCGGAAGCGCAGAGGCCCCCCTCTGCAAAAACACCTAGCGCCAGCAGACAGAATGGGAAAAGGGGGAGCTCAGCTTCTGTGTGGGGGCAGAGGATGCGGGCGAATCAGGCATTGCTCACTGTCCTTCAGCTGTGGGGAGAGGCCCAGGTGGGTAGAAGGACATCAGCCTGGACACTACAGCGGTCCTGCCCAACCAGGAGCCAGGACTGCACATCTCATGACAAGAAGCCTTCAGTCCTGCTGTGGTTAGGGAGGGGGCAGAAATTAGTATGAGGAACCCAGGACAACACGGGAGCCAAGTTGGATTCAGGGCTCTCTGAGGTGACAGGAGGGCCCACAGCCACAGTGACTGCCCGGGGGGCTGGTGAGAGGTGGGGGGCAAGGGTGGGCCCAGAAGGCTGGAGGGGAACACACACTGGGCAGGCCTGCACTCTTGTTGGACACACAGCAGTAGGAGAACCAGACCTCCTCTCTGGTCCCCGAGAGCAGGCTGGGCTTTATGTGGGGCCAGAGAAAAAGACTCCCGGCCTGAAGCCACGGAACACTTGGCCACTGAAGAGAAGGGGACAGGGTCACTCACTTGAAGGCACCAGAGTAGCCGAAGTACGGTTCCTGGGAGGAGAAGGCACATTTGTTTTCCCCTGTCCCCACACACAGGCGACACAGGTTGGGGAACTGTCCTTTATCTGCACCGGGAACACAGCTGGCTAAGAAGAACCTGGCCACAGCTGTTAAACACAGAGAAGTGGACCACAGAGTGTGAGCCAGCCCAGGCCACAGCGGGTTACACCTCCCATCCTGAGGTCCCCGTGGGCAGGGCTCCTTCCTCCACCCCTGCAGGAGAGCCTCTGTCCTGGGGCTGGGAGCTCGAGACATGCACCTCTGCCGACAGCAGACTCAGCTGTGCCTCCCAAGGGCTGCTGGAGTAACAGATCCTGCCGGCAGGATGTTACAAGCCGGCCAGTCTCACCCCCACCTTGATTCATCCCACACTTTCACCTGCATGATCTGTGTGGTCTGTGCTTACAACTGGAGTAGAGCCCCCTGCCTGAGGTCACTCACTATACCCCAACCATCTTACCTGCCTCAATGGCCTCAGGTGGACCCGTCCAGTTCAAGAATGGACGAAGCATCCCTATAGGGACAATCCACCCAGCGGTCCTGTTAAGGCCTGTGTGGCAGGACTTCAGACCTTGCAGTTCGTTCAGCTGAAAGCGGCCGCCCTTCTTCACCACAGCCACGGCATAATAGTGGGTTCGTGGCTCTGCAAAGGGGCAGATGGAATTGAAAGCTCTTAGCCTGGACAAGAGGGACAAAAACAACTCACCCTGAAAACTCTCCAGTGGGAAGGGGGAACGCTATGCTGCAGTTTCCTCACAGTTCACGTGTGTCCTCCTGTCATGGGTCAGCATCAGGAGAAATGGCCTTCATCTGGCCCAGAGCCCAGCGACTCCATTGCCTGCATGTGTGATGTGACCAAGACTCCACCTCCACATGTTCCCCAACCCCCAATCCACAGAGCTCAGGGCACAGGCTGGGCCCACCATGGCATCTGGGTCCCCAGGCAGAACTCACTTTCTTCGGTCCCGTAGACTTCCGCTGCTACAGGTCGCAGTTTGTAGGGGGCCAGGCCTGCTTCATACATCAAACCACCATCAAGGGTCATAGCATCGGCCCTGTTTGCCTGAAAGTAAAGAGGCCAGACCGGCTTCAGCAGAAAACTCACCCAAACCCAGCAAGTGGGACTTCAGGACCTCAGAAAGTCTCCACAGCTGGAAGGGTCGTCAAAGGGGTCCGCTTTCCATCACATCCACTCACTTCCTATGAGAGATGGTGAGAGCCAAGGACTCCTGTTTCGGGACAGTGAGCACCAGCTCTCTGACTCCTGAGTCCGGCGCCTGCCCTCTTTCTCCTCTGCCTGCCTGTGTCACTCTCCTGATCACACCCTTCACAGTCATCTATATTGGAAGTTGTTTGTTCTAGATGCCTTCTATTTTTGCTCTATATTCATTTAAGTTCTGTTTTATTGGATAGAAAATATGGTTATTAAGATATCCTAAAAGTATCATAAGAAACCATGTTCCTCCATTTCTGCACATTGCTTCCCACATGATTACGTATTTCTTTGGTTTGCAATGTGGGATAGATCCGCAGTCCCCAACTTTTTTGCCACCAAGGACCAGTTTCAGGGAACGTAATTTTTCCACAGACAGATGGGGAATGGTTTTGGGATGAAACTGTTCCACCTCAGATCATCAGGCATTGGATTCTCACAGGTAGTGCAACCCAGATCCCTCGCATGCTCAGTTCTCAATAGGGTTCACACTCCTATGAGAATCTAATGCCGCTGCTGATCTGACAGGAGGTGGAGCTCAGGCAGTCAGGCTCACTAGCCGGCCACTCACCTCCTGCTCTGAGGCCTAGTTCCTAACAGGCCATCAACCAGTACGAGTCCGCAGCCAGGTGATGGGGACCCCCGGAATACATCAGATTTTGTGGACTGCTTATTCATCTAAAACTGGATACATTTTCTAACTTCTGCAGAGCCTTTATTGATTTTGTTGACAGCATAATGTTTTCTCATAATGTGGGTATTCTATCGTGTATTGAATAATTTCCCCCAATGTTTAGCACTTGGGTTTATTTCTAACTGTTGCCTATGAAGATTGTATTTTCATGAATATCTTTGTCCTCAGTATTTTTCCTTGTGACCACTTGTGTCCTTGGGTAGGCACCTGAGGGTGGAATCCCCCAGATGAGGAGCACGTTTCTCCCCGTGACTCCGGCTGCCGTTGCCGTTCTGCTTCCAGAAGACTTATAATACCAACTCAGAATGGCACTGCCCGTGAGGACCAGCTTCACTCTTGAATCACCAGCAGGGCAGGCTATCATTCGTTAGCTGTTATTACTATAGAAAATTTGAGTACTAACAAATTGCTCAGGTCTGATTAGTAAGGGGAACATCTCACAAGTATTTTTTATTAATCATGAATTCCCTCTTACTAGTAACTCTGTTCATATCATTTTTCTTCTATGATTTTACATTTTTTCCAATTTGAGTTATTCTTTTATTTATTTTTTTTAAGACAGAGTCACCCAGGCTGAAGTGCAGTGGCACCATCTCAGCTCACCACAACCTCCACCTCCCAAGTTAAAGCGATTCTCTTGCCTCAGCCTCCCGAGTAGCTGGGACTACAGGAGTGTGCCACCACACCCGGCTAACGTTTTATTTTTTTTATTTTTTATTTTTTGTATTTTTAGTAGAGACAGGTTTTCACCATCTTAGCCAGGATGGTCTTGATCTCCTGACCTCGTGATCCACCTACCTTGTTCTCCCAAAGTGCTAGGATTACAGGCATGAGCCACCGCGCCCGGCCTTGAGTTATTCTTTTATAGAGTGTAAATAGTAATCATGTGTCAGAGCTGGTGCATATTCATCCATTCTGGTGCTTTCTAAATTTTTTAGTTAAATATTTTCTATGGGCTATGAATTGCATTTTCCGTATTTTAGAATGTCTGTTTGTTTCATGATTTAGTTCATTGTTTAAGAGACTTCTATTTCCTCTACAGTTCTGCTAGTTAACCTGCCCCCTAGTTTTTCAATAATACAAGTTTTATTTTTAACCATTTAATCTATCTCAATTTTATTTGCATGAATGATATGTAGCACCGCTTTCAAATAGGGATCTTATTTTCTGAGATCAGACGAGATCGGATGCATTCATGGTGGTATGGCCGTAGACAGATCTTATTTTAAAAGGCAGATTTTGTGGCTTCTTTCACATATATTCAGATTGAGTAGGTTAGAATAGAGCCTAGGAATCTGCATTTTAAACAAGCAAGAGATGTGGTGCTGGTTTTTTGTTTTTGTTTTTGTTTTTTGAGATGGAGTCTCGCTCTTGTCACCCAGGCTGGACTGCAATGGCATGATCTTGGCTCACTGCAACCTCCCCCTCCCGGGTTCAAGTGATTCTCCTGCCTCAGCCTTGTAAGTAGCTGGGATTACAGGCATGTGCCACCACACCCAGCTAATTGTTGTATTTTCAGTAGAGACGGGGTTTTGCCATGTTGGCCAGGCTGGTTTTGAACTACTGACCTCAGTTGATCCTCCCACCTCGGCCTCCCAAAGTGCTGAAATTACAGGCGTGAGCCACTGCACCCAGCCGCTGGTACTGTTTGTATGCAGGTAATAGTTGTAAAATAATAGCCTAAAACATTGATTAAACTAGATTTTTCCCTAAGTAGTATTCTAATAACTCCATTGTATTTATAAGATAATCCTATGAAGTTGCCTTGGGAACTTTTACATACATTATCCACTCTGCTGGAGTTGAGTACACATGATTATGGCACACAGCAGGTACACAGAATATATTTGTTGAATGAATGAGTAAAAATTATTTCAGTAGATCTTACATCGCAAAAAATAAAAGGAATCATAAATCATATACAAGTCATGATACCCTTTTCTCTCTCTCTGAAAGTGTCTTGGACAAAAGTCTTTCTAACCCCCAGCACCCTGGCAGGCCCTGCCCCAGCCATGTGATGTGGCAATGTGACCAGGACAAGCTTCTTTCTCACAGGGTTTAGAGGTCATGACTCTTTTGGAGGATTTCCCTCTCTGGGTAACCTTGCTTTTTGCCGATCCTATGTATTCATCAAACACAAGTGCTTACATTTCATTTTGGAACAGTTGTTATTAACAGTTTATGTGGAGGCCCCAGGTTCCTCACACGTGGTCTCTTAAGCTCCTTTCTTTCTGCTCTGAAAATAGCACGGTTCCCTGTGAGAGAGGACAGCTCCCAACTTAGTTGCCCAAAAGGTGAAGCAGAAGAAGTAAGGAAATCCCATGTTCTATGTTTTTCCATTTCTCTCTCCCTTCCATTCAGCTTGGTCCCAACCAACACCCGGCACTGACTCACCGCAATGGCCTGGATACAGTTGGTGGGGGAGGCTCTCTTTATGCAGCTGACAGGAGGGCCACGCACTCTTCTCAGATTCCTTTGCCATTGGGAGCATTTTGTGGCCTCGGGTTTGGATACAGCGCACCATCGAACACTCCTCCTACGGGCAGCCAGACACAGTCCTGGGAGAGAGGGGACAAGAAGTAAGGATTCAACCACTGACTGAGGCAGTGACCACTGCACCCTCTGATACGAGTTTTCCAGACTCCTCCCTCTCTCTCAGCTGCCCTCCTTCCCTCTCCATTTCATGGCTATGTCCAGCCATTCGCCACAAGTGGAGGCATCTTGATGGACTAACAAGATCTCTGCATTGGCTAGAGGTCTGTGGTTCTCAATAAATTAAAGGAGAAAGTGCCTCTAGATTATTTTTATTCCTATGACTTTGACATGTTTCCTACTACTTAAAAAATGATGGTGATCCCTCAAATCAGTTATGGAATTCTTCTACCAGCTTTGGCAACTTTGAACCTGGAAGACAGGCAGGAAAGAAGGCATTGCTCCTGTTTTACTGATGTGGAAATTGGCTCCTAAGGAGGCTGAGTGACTCACCACTCAGCAGTGCGGAGCCCAGCTGAGAATCCAGGTCTCTCTAGACTGTTTTGTCCGTAAATGTCTTCCCAGGGAATGCCAACAGAACAAGGGAAAATATACCTGACTTGGTTAGTAGCTGAGGTAAATGGTAAGTCAATGTCAATGGGGACAAATCGGTTGGTTGGTGTGCCTGAGCTACCACCATTCACTCTGTACAGAAAGACTGGTTCTCCTGTTGAGCCTGCTTTTGTTGCTCAAATCCATGCTATTAGGGAGGAAGATGCATTGAATTTACTCCCCTGGTTGCCTGATAAAAGGCATCTACAAAAAACCTGCAATGAACATTATACTAAAATAATGAAAGACTGACTGCTTTCCACCTAAGATCAGGAGTGATGAGAGAGTGTCCACTCTCACCTCTTCTATTTAACAGTATTAGAGATTCTAGTCACAGCAATAAGGCAAGAAAAGAAATGAAAGACACCCATATTGGAAAGAAAGAAGTAAAACTGACTTTATTTTCAGATAACATGATCTTCTATGTAGAAAATACTGAAGAATCTATAAAGTACTATTAGAATTAACAAACAAGTACAGGATATAAGATCAATATATAAAAATTGATCATATTTTTGCATACAGCATAGAATAATCTAAAAATGAAATTAAGGACATAATGCTAGATAGTATAACATCAAAAAGGATTTAATACTTGATGGGTAAATGATAAGAACAGACATTTTACCAAAGAAGATATATGAACAGACAATAAGCACATGAAAAGGTGCTCAATATCATTAGTCAAAAAATGCAAATTGAAAATGCAAGAAAATATCATTTCACACCCTCTAAGCAGGTTATAATAGCTAAAACAGACAATGACACGTATCGGTGAGAATGTGGAGGAGTGGAAACCCTCATACATTGATGAGAATGTAAAATGGTGCAGCCACTTTGTAAAACAGGTTGGCAGCTTCTCAAAATGTAAAGCACAAAGTTCCAATAGGACCCAGCAATTGCACTTCTAGGCATATAGCCAAAAGAAATATTATAAAAACCTATCGTACATAAAGGCTTGTGCATGAATATTCATAGTAGTGTTATTCAGAACAGTAGAAAACTGGAAACAACCTAAATGTCCAATAACTGGTGAATGTACATCCATTCAATGGAATACTACTCAGCAGTGAAAAGAACTACTAACATGCCCCACGACATGAACAAGCCTCACTTATGCTCAGTGAAAGAAGCCAGACACAAGAGACCACATACTGTATGATTCCATTTGTATGAAATGTCCAGAAAAGGCAAATTTATAGAGACAAGAAAATAGATTAGTGGTTGTCTGATGCTGGGGTAGAAATGAGGATTAACTATAAACAGACATGAGGGACCTTTACTGTAGGGGATAAAAGTGTTCTAAAACGGATTTATGGTGATGGTTGCACCACTCGGTAAGGTTACTAAAACTCATTGAATTGTACGCAAATAGGTGGGTTTTTTTATGATATATAAAATATACCTCAGTAAAGCTGTTACCAAAAACAAAAACAAACAAACAAACAAAAAAACAAAAACAAAAAAAACACACAGTTGTAAAAGCCCTCTGCCCTTTGGATGTGCTATGGGGTAGAATGTTCAGCCTCTGCTGCCTCCTATTTCTGAGCCATCCCCTTATGGTGAGAGCCACCCACGGCCCTTGGGTGGGCAAGAGGCCTATAACTCCCAAGCTGAGTCTGCAGGGGTTTGGGGACACCCAGCTGCTCCCCTTCACCCACCCTCATCCCGGGGAAATCCCAGGGGATATAATCTTGCCTTGGAAGCCCTTATGGAACTATCCTACACTGAGAATTAACCCAATCAGATGCAGCCATTTGTGATCCAGTAAGCTTTAACTTGATACCTGCTGTATACACAGCACTGTGTGTCACACAAGGAATGTGTAAGCGGATAGGACCAGATTTTACTTCTCACTGGAGAGGCAAAAATCCAAAAGAAGGAAGCTAAGAATGGTGAATGTGTTAAAAGAGAACAAATAGCAACTAATGAAGACATACATGTCTGTATTGTGAGTTCTGCCAACATCGCCGTTCTCCAGGGGAGGGAACTGTGGCTTTAACTAGTTATGTGGCTTGTGGAAGTTCCCATAGCTAATAAGTAAGTGTTGGATCTAGGACTTGAACCTAAGCAGTCAGGCACTAAACTCCCCTACTCTTACCACTGGGCTAGCGTACCTATTTAGGTTGGCAAAGTGAGAGACAGGTTGGAGATGGGGTTAGAAAAGGGTCTGGGTCAGATCATGGAAAGTCTCCAATGCTTATCCAGGGAGGTCTTATTCAGGATGCAGTGAAGCTGTGACCCATGGGAAAGGCTGGAGACTGGAGCTCTCCCTAGGGCAGGGGTAGAGTGAACTGAGACCTGGGACCCGAGAACAGGCAGAGAAGCAGTGGCCAAGGAAGGCACCAGGGAAGGACTGGTCTGAGTGGAGAGGGGGGACAGCACTGAGAACAGAGAAGGGGGCAGGGATAGGGAGGTGGTATCAGAAATCACCTTAGTAATGGGTGGGTTCTGGGGATGAAGGGAGAGAGTAAAATTGAAGACCATGCCTCAAGCTGGAGGTGGGGGCTGAGCAATGATGGGAACCTGTGGGCAGGGTTCATTTCTTCCCCTAAGAGGAGCTGAACCAGGGTGACTAAAGGACCACTGAGCGCCCTACCAGAATTCCCAGTCCCTAGCCCCGCAAACACCAGGTGAAGTCTCCACGCTCTTACCTCCCAGCTCTGGAGCTGTGTGACTCCCTGAAGCGGGTCTGGGTCTGGCCCCTCCAAAATCCTCAACCCGGCACTTGTATTCAGTGTCAGGTGAATACTGCTGCTCACCGGACCTGGCTGGACTCTGACTAAAGCTTACATTCTGGGCAGACATGCAGTGCTCTGGCCTTGAAGGCAGGGGCCAGGACAGGAGTTACTCTCCCCACCTACCCACACAGCTCATGATAGGGCCCAGGCAGACTGCTCAGACTTATGGGAAACCTCATGAGTGCCTCCCAGCCCATGGCTCCGGGGGCTAAGCAGACAGACTCCTCCACCCACTGCTCACATGGCTTAGATCCAGCTGGCCCCACCCACCCAACTTCTGTCAGCCTGGACACCCATGGGGAGCAGGGCAGGAATCCCATAGGGCAACTGCCACCCTTTCCTCAGGGAGGACAAGGGTTTCAATGGCACTTTGGGGTGCAGGCCACTATCCCAATTGACTACAGGATTCAAACTTCAGACCTCAGTAGGCACCCAAACAACCAAAGATCTAAGTGAATATGAAACCCAGCGGTGCAACTCCGAGCCAGAATCCTGGACCACAGCCCATGACCCCTTCCAAGAAGGCAAGGCTTCCTTCCTCTCCTGCCCCTCCCAGGTGGCCCTAACCCTGTGCAACAGGCCACTTGCCAGGGAGCTTGAGGGGAAGAGAACAGTCGGGTCCTGGCCAGTCCCAATCTGTCTTAGAGACGAGAAGGATGACGAACACCCATGGGAAGGAATTTGGAGCAGGAGACCAGAAGGGCAGGCACATGGATGGGTTCCGGCTCCCACTGCTGCTCTCTATCCACCACCATCACTTCCATCCAGGAAGCTCCCCGCCTTAGGTAGATGCCATAAGACAGGTGGAGGCTGCACTGGGCTGGGGAGGTGTGACACCTGGGCTTTCACTATGCCCCCTCCCACTGCCTAAGTCCTGATGCCCATCACAGCCCTTTCTGCTGAGGCCTGGGACCTTCCCCTCCCGGCACTGCAGGGAGCTCTGCACTCACTAATGTGCAGCGCTGGAGAGTGCCCTCTGAGCACCCAAGAAATTACTTTGGTTATGGAACTAACAATTGTTTCCTTCCTGGTTACGGAACTAACAATTGTTTCCTTCCTTCTACTCTTCCCTTCTGTTCGGCTCACATTTCCCTCTCAAACTCTCTGACACAGGGTTCCATCAGGAGCACTGCACCCCTCCGCACCCCTCCCCACCCCTCTGCCACGGAAGATGCATGAATGCCCCATCTCCTGCTCACAACCCTGTGGACCCATGGTTAGGCCGTTTCTTTAAGTGAAGAAACTAAGTCTCATAAAGGCTCTGTCTTGCTGGGGTCTCACAGCAGGAGCTAGGATCTGAACTAGGGTCCTTGAGCTAGTCATTCACCCTCTCTGAGCCTAATTTTCCTCCCAGGTAAAACGCGTATCACAATATGATGGGGACCAAATCCATAGCGGGGACACAAAGCGGCAGTTGCCTGGGAGGCCTTTTGAGAAGCTCTGCGGAGAGCTAGGCGTGTCCCGACCCAGTTTAGAGGAGCCCAGCTCCTGTTCCTCCCCAGGTGAGAAAGAGGCTGGCCCGGCGTCTGGGCCGCCTCCCAGCTACAGACGCAGGGACCGCGGGGCTCAGAGACCCCGCGCCCAGCCAACCGGACACAGGGACCAAAGCGCCTAGCAGACAGGGCGCAGGAGACGCCCATCAGGCGGCGCGCGCCCACAGGCACCTGCACTCACCGAGGGTCCCGAGGAACAGTAGGGCGAGGAAGACAAGCTTCATGTTTGAAGTCCGGAGGCTTCGTTGGCAAACGAAGGCTCTGCCACCTGCGCCTGCCCTGCGCCCCTTTATTCAGGGCTTTGCCCCGCCCTGTTGCCCAATAGACACCCCTTCCCTCCCCACTCCCCGCGGCCAGGTCTACTTGTTCCTTGATGATCCAGGCTCCGGAAAACCCTGAGGCGGGGCAGGACTCCACACCGTGCCGGGAGAGGAAAGCCAGCCTGCGCCTCACCTGTCCTGGTTCTGCCTGGCTACTGCGATGTTCTTTCTCTCTCACTAGTCTGCAAGTCCCTAGGAGTCGCAGCCCCCTGAGCCTTGTCCCGGCTCTGGTCTCAGTGCCTTCTAGAGGGCAGGACACAGAGCAGAGGGTCTTTACTGGAAGATTGCCTTGACCTGTGAGACTGCCGTCTTCAGCAGATGACCTTGAAGGTGCCTAGGAGCCAGTTAGGGCAGGTGGGTTTGCTTTCACCTTGGCTCTGCAGTGAGCCCTGAGTTGAAAAGATGACCCAACCGCCCCCAGCAGCAGCCTAGGGACAGCTGACAGAGAAAATAGAGGCTGCCCAGAGTCCCAGGCAAGCTGCCCAGGGGGGTCTCCCTGCCCTGCTGAGACCCACAGTACAGCTCCCAGAAAACAGACAGGGACTCAGAGGGGAATGGCCACCACCCAAGGCTGGCTCCAAGTTCTTATTTGCCAACAAGAAAGATGCCCTATGGCTAGGATGCCCTACTCTTTGCTGCTTTTTTTTCCTCCACCTCCTCCTTCTTTTTTGGTGTTGATAGTATTCAGTAGGAAACAGTAACCTCATTTTAACAATTGCCATAAACATCAGATTTTAAAATTCAAAAGCTAGAATACTGCTTTTAAGAATACATCTCATAAACACAGTCCCATGACACACAACAGCCCAGGTACAAATGTCTCCAGCACACCACTGCATGCTATTAATCAGTTGGAAGCAAACTAAACATCCATCTCTGGGGCAGTGTCACACACAGCATGGTGCCTGTGGGACACATTGGGGGCCTCAGAAAGAACATCCTGTGTGTATGGATGTGAACTTAGCCCGAGAGTAACTAGGCAGGGCACAGTGGCTCATGCCTGTAATTCCAGCATTTTAGGAGGCCAAGATGGGAGGATTGCTTGAGCCCAGGAGTTCAAGACTAGCCTGGGCAACATAGGGAAACCCCCATTTCTACAAAAAATACAAAAATTAGCCCGGCATGGTGGTGTGTACCTGTGGTCCCAGCTACTTGGGAGGCTAAGGTGGGAGGACCATTTGAGCCTGGGAGATGGAGGTGGCAGTGAGCCATGATCGTGTCACTGCACTCCAGCCTGGGCAACAGAGTAAAACTCTGTAACCCCCACCAAAAAAAAAAAAAAAAAAAAAAAAAAAAAAAAAAGAGATAACTAAGTGAAGAAAAAAGGTACCAACAGTGAGGGAAATAATAAGTCACCTGAACACCTTTCTTGGCAGGTGAGTCTGGCCAATATGTAACTCTGAACTCTGCTTATTCTGATAAGCCGGTCTTGACTCTGTGTAGATTACTTGGTACTAAAAAGCATTTCCTGGAGCAGATGGGCAATGCCCCAGGGAGCCAGCTCTGCCAAGAGTGAGCATGCAGTGGGCATCCAGCCATGGAGAAGCAGGCGCAGCCCAAGGTGGAGAGGCCATTAAGGAGGCTGGGGAGCCCCTCCATCTCTGGGCATGATCCTGCCAAGGCACAGGGTGGAGGCTAATCAGGCATCCTGCTTGCCTGCCATGAGACTGGGGTCTGAGATTTGGTGCTAGAATCACCAGCTGGGTTTTGTGGTGACAGATCCAAGGTCTCTCATTGTTTGGAAACATGATATTGCACCATTAAAAGTTGCCTTCATCAATAATTGCAGTAAGTTCTTTCAAAAATACTGAAGAAATACAAAATTGACTAATTCCCAGGAGTGCTGAAGCGTCTTTGTACCTAAATTGGCAACTAGACTTTGCCTTTTCATCACTATAAAAGAATTAAGAAACATCATAACCCATGTCTCTTTTTCTGAGTGCAAATTTAAAAAAGGATGACTGGGAGGTCAGAGGGCCCTGGACCCTCTTAAGTATGTTACAGTGTTGGCAAGAACACAGAGAACCTGGGGGCACCACCAAGAGGCTCAGCTTAAGGAGGGCCCTGAAGGCAGGATGAGTAGGCGGCAGGGCAGACTGTTTTCCTGCTGCACCTGTTGGAACAGCCCAGCCCCAGGGCAGGAGTGTGCGCATCTGGACACAGGCAGAGCAGCCCCCCAAGGCCATCTGCAGAGCAGGCTGATGTAGGGGATCAATCTGCCCCCAAAACAATGAAGTTTAACTGATCTATTAACAGCATTCATTCATTCATTCATTCATGCCAGAACTGGTAGATGCCATGAGAGACAGAGAAGAGGGGTGTGTCCTTGCCCTCAAGAGCTCACAGGACCATGGGGGAGGGACGGGCACAGGAATGCACTTCTATCACAGAGGCTCCCTAAGAAGAGGCCAAGCAGCATAAACCAAGAGAGTGTGAGGGCCCAGAGGAGGAATGACCAGCACCCATCATGAGGGCTCCAGAAGAACTCAAGGAAGATTTGGCCTGGGTACCTGAAGGAAGGTGGGATTTCTACAGGTAGAGCATTCTGTAAAGTAAACAACCAAACAAGTAAAGGGGTGGGAGCCATGAACCCAGTGACCAATTACCTGAGCACCAGGGACAACAAAAGGTCACTCTGGCTTTCTGGCCAGGAATTCTTCTCTTTTTTTTTTTTTTTACAGACAGGGTCTCCCTCTGTCACCTAGGCTGGTATGCGGTGGTGGTACAATCACAGCTCACTGCAGCCTTGACCTCCTGGGCTCAAGCGATCCTCCCACCTCTGCCTCCCAAAGTGCTGGGATTACAGGCATAAGCCATTGCAGCCAACCATGGCTTGGAACTCTTGTTGGAAGAAGGATTAACAAAATCCTCCTCCTCTATCCTGAGTTCCGCATCATGTGTTCATCTGCCTCTGGATAGCTACTCTTGCAGGTCCTGAAGCCACCTAAATTTAATATTGAAAATGCAACTCACATAGTCCCTCCAACCCTGCACCTTCTTTTATATTTCTTACCACTTTCCACCAAACCCACCAAAGAGCCACAGAGGCACCCTCAAATCCTTTGGCCAGCTAGCTCTGTGCATGTTATAGGCACTTGAAGATCAATATCGGTTGAAGGAATGAATAAATGAAGAGGAGGAACAGGCTAAGAAAGGGACAAAGGATCCTGTTTGTAATGTGTTGGGTCTGAAGGACAGTGAGGGTCAGGGCTGGCTAAGCCAGGCCATGCCAAAGCCTGTGTACATGGACTCATTAATTTATCCATTCATTCACCACTGGTCTATGGGACATCTCCAATGTGCCAGGAGTTGGGTCAGATCTCGAAAAGCCTGCAGGGAAGCAGAATGCAGGTTTCCAAATGCTGAGACGGTAGCATGAGTTTAAGGAGCACAAAGAAGGTAGCTGCTGTGGGAACCGCCATGCAGTGGCAAGAGTTAGTGTTCAACAGGCAGGTGTGGGAGGCTGCCTCCCTTCCCCCTAACCCTGCTCTACCCACACCCTCAAAACTCCCCCAAGGAGCCTTTACAGAATTGCAGGCCCAAGCCCCACCAGCAAGCAATAGTCTTTGGCCAACCTAACTGCTCCCTGCAAGCCTCACACCCTGCCCTCACTGAGCCTCTAGCTTCAAACCCCAAGAAGAGTGTTGGGAAGGAAGTGTGAGATCTGGGTAGAACTGGCTCCAGGTGGGATAAGGCAGAAGAGGCCTTCCTGAGACATCTATTCACAGTTGGACAATAGCCTGGCAGACGGGAGAACTCCGGCCATTTCTTTTCCCTGCCAGTGGTGTGAGATTGCTGACTTGAGAGCCACTTAATTAGATATTTAGGGATTTGGGGTGGGTTAACTGATGGCAGCTTGATGTCAGGCATAATAGATTCCAGGCATGTATTTATGCCATGGAATTAGCAAATGCTCTAAATCAGGGCTTCCTCCCTCCACGCCCCTGGAGGGCCGGTCGACCAGCACACAGCTGCCTAAGTTCATCACTGTTTGGTGTCATGCAATGTCCACGTTCATGTAGGTGTGTTTGTGTGTGGGTGGCTGTGCCATCCCTAGCAGAGAAATAGGATAATAATCTTTAATATTTGGACGGCATTTTAAAATTCAAATAGTGCTGTCAGTGACTTTGTCTCGTGTGGCTTTAACAACAGCTCTGTGAGTTAAGACAGTCACTGTTTCCATTCTAAAAACAGGTACTCTGAGTGTCGCCTGAGGTCACACACTGAATAAGATACAACTGCTATCCCTGAGTCTCCCATTAGGCCCACGGCCAGGGGCTTTCTCCTTTACAGGCCAAGAACCCTCTGAGAGCTCAGGATGCAGAGACTGAGGCCCAGGGATCTCAGCAGAAAGGGAACCCTGAAAGAATTGAACCCTTCCATGAAGCAGGCCCTGCCTGGCCCCTTCCACACATCAGCCGTCTTCCGATGCTCTGGAAATATCATAAGGTGCTTGTTATACCTGTTTCCAGCAGAGTGGACTTGGGCAAGGCACTTTGTTCATGGTCTCACAGGCAGTGGAGAGTAGAGCCAGAAATCCACCCAGGACCCCATCTGGTGACTCCTTAGGGCCTTGGTGCCTTAGTAATGATCATTTATTTGCTGGTCACCCTGAAGAGAGGGGCAGAGAATGGGCAAGAAGGAGAAAGAGAGGGATGGAGAGCTGCCTGTGTCTCTACCCACCCAAGTCCCCACAAAATCCCAACACAATGATCTCGAGAGAAAGGCCCTCACATTTGGCCCCACATTGGCCCCTTTGAAGACAGCCAAAGGCCCTGAGAGTCTGGGAACGCTTGTGGGCTCCTGGAAGCTTCCATTAGGAGGGAAGATCTGCTGAAGGGCACCAGGCAGGAAAACAGTGGCTTCATTAGCCAACATGTATTGTTGCCAAATATTGCCCAATTTACAAAGGTCCCACAGAGACAAGGAGCTTCTGTCTGCTTGGATGAGCCCTCTTCTTCCTCTTCCTCTTCCCTCCCCTCACCTGACCCTTCTCCTCTGCAGGACCCTCTGCCCTCTGGGCCCTCTCCTCACAGGGACAGCCCTCCCGGGGTTGGCGGCTTCAAAGACCTGCTGAGCATGCTCCCCAGTGGCCAAGGAGCAGTGGAAACAGCTCAAGCTTCCAGTCCCACCCTACTTCTGAGCTTTCAATTCTCCTGGCCAGGATAGCACCCTAAGTTCCTGGTAGACATCTGAACTGAGCACCTAATCACCACATCCATTGAGAATGTACAGCAGGTCAGGCCCCGGGGGACAGCCTTCTGGGAAGGTGCTGGCCCAGAGGGAGCATGTGGGTGGCCCAAGGCGAGTCATGCAAATTTCTTCCCAGAAGGAATGAGGCCCTGTCCCAGGGAAAGCCCAAGCATGAAGCACCTAAGTTGCTGACCCATGGTGCTTCCTCCTACAGGGCTGCATTCTGGAGGGGGCTGCTCCACAGGCTTCACTGTGCTGGAGGCCTCTGTGTCTGCTGTCTGTGTCCTGCAAGGACAAGATCAGCTGGATCCTTCACTCAGTAGGAGCCTGAGATGGGTGAGTGGAGGAGTGAAGAGGCTTGATTTTCCTCCATTTCTCTGGGTGAGGCTGCTTATCCCCAGCTCTTCCAGGCTAGAGATGCCCAGCTCTCTGACCAGTCCTCAAGCCTCACTACTGCTCTGGTAGCGAACTTCCTCATCCCACCATTCCTTTATTCACCTGACAGCTGGGCAGACGGGAAGGCATGGGGAGAGGTGTGGTTAGAAGCTCAGAGATGGGATTGGCTGGCTAGGTTTGAACCAGTTCCACCCTAAACAGCTCCCTGGACCTAGGTCAGTCTTTCAACCTATCTAAGCCTCAGTTTCTCCATATGTAAAAAAGAGATGCAAACAATATCCACCGTATGAGGTGGATAGAATTAAAACCCGATGTTGAGATTCTTGTGCAGTGCTCGGTACAGGCAAGTTGTCCTTGATATTTGCAGATACTCATGAGCCCCCTCTGTGTGCGAAAACCTCAGCTGGGCACAGAGGTTCAGGGTTGAGCAGGAAGGAGCCCAGCCTCCAGCAATGCCTGGTCAGCGAGAGGGGCTGCATGAACCCAGAGAGTCACAATCCTACTTGCAGAGAATGTTAACAGAGGCTGCAGGGAGCTTTGAGAGTGGAAGAGAGAGTGGCAGAGTCTGTTCTCCAAAATGGCAGGGCAGCACACACTGCCCCCAGCTGCCTGCCTTTTCTAGAGTGTTCACAATCTGGCTGGCCTACTCTCCATCTGTGTCTCTCTCCTAATCCCTGCCTCCTCTCTTTCTCTGTCTCTCTCT